TGAGCGAGTGCCAGACGCTACCTTAGTTCGCAGAAGATTTCGGGTGTGGCAGTGCGAAGGATTCCTAAGTCGCTCTCATACCATGTTGAGATTAGAAGGTTAATCGTGCCTAGGACCACCTCATGAAGGTTCGCAGAGAGCGTGTGTTGTAGCGAAAGAATTCACCTTAGGTTAGAATGAATGTAAAATGACTGAGATAATAAAGCATGCAAATACATTTGTTTATATAAGAGTATAGGGGAATACGAAACGTCATAGACTAGCCATGTACTCCAAGGGGTAGATTCCTTTATTGCAGGGAAATCCAACCTTGCGACTCCAGACGGTTATGAACCTATTCCCGCCAGAATCCTTGCCATTGCAGCTGTCCGATGCTTCTGCTCCGATGGTCTATTTGATGCCTAACCGTGCGCAACTCTTTGCGTCACTTCAACTTTTCACCTTCCTACTCTTTGTTGTGTCCTTTCATATTTTAACATTCATAACAATGAGGAGGGGACGCAGTGAGATCCTAAGGCTCGTTTTCTACTATGGCTGCACCAGGTCAAAATAGCTCTGGGAGCTCAAGTATGCTTAGGGTTTAGGGTTCTCAAAAGTAAACTCAACATTTCTACTATGGTCCCACCAGGTCAAAATAGCCCTCGAAGCTCAAAGTGTTTAGGACAAGTTGAAAGAGAAGAAGAGGGATTTCTTAGAAAATGAACAAAATGGAATGGTCAACTAGAAGGAGGATGGGAACCAAATATGCAAACGTAAAAGTTGTACCCCCTAGAAGGCACCTCACTACAGCCTATCATAGTTATCACATTTTGACACTCTCCCATAAACCTAGTGAGGGCATAAAGGAAACAAACAAGTGACAGCACATGGCCACAAGACCAATGAAGGAAAGAAACAAAACAAAGCTCGTGGTGGATCTCAAGATCACCTCGCAGTCCGAGCACAAACAAGGGGCCACAAGGCCATTTCTCAGAGGTCACAAGAATATATTAATGCAAGTACAACAGTATAGTACACAAGAGACAAGGCTACAGCAACCGAGGGCCTGACTCAACAAGCCCTAGCTGCACACAGAACCTGTGGTGGTCACCAGGTGCCAAGGCCTTGGTGAAGACGTCGGCAGTATTGGCCTCTGAGGCCACAAAGTCCAAGCGTGCCTGGCTGCGTCACTGCAAATCTCGCAGGAGAAAGTGCCTCACGTCAATATGCTTCACTCTGCTCTCTAGTCAAGGCTCTCGGCACAGGAGGATTATCGCCTTGTTGACAGCAAACAAGGTCGGTGCAGAGCGAGGCCGCTCACCAAGGACGGTGAGCAAGAAGGTCAACCAGCAAAGCTCCTGCACAGCCATGGCACCAGCGTAGATCTCTACCTTTGCACTGGACAAAGCCACAGACAACAACCGTGTAGACCTCCACGACACAGAACCAGCACCCAAACTGAAGCAGTAACCCTGAGTTGAGCGCTGAGTCTCCACGTCGTCAGCGTAGGAAGAGTCACAGTGACTGATCAACACAATTGGCTGACTCCCTCCAAGTACAAGCCCCATGCCTGATGTAGTCACCAGGTACTTCGCCACCCTCACAGCAGGCGTCCAGTAAACAAGATGGTGTCTCCCAGTCACAACAAAACGAGAGAGGACGCTCAGGGGAAATGCGAGGTCCGGCCGAGTACAAGTCATCAGGTAAATGAGGTAGCCCACAAGCTCTGCGTAAGGGCCACTTGACTTAGGAGGCTCGTCGGGGAAAGGGCCACTGAGTCTGTGGTCAACGGCAAGAGGAGCGGGTTGTGTGGTAGAAAACTGAAACCCAAACCGCCGAAGGACCTGCTGCACCATGTGTGACTGAGTCAATGTGATGGTGCGAGCGGGAAAGCAGCATGGCGCAGAGAGAGGGAGAAGCGGCTGCTAAGACCGTATCAGCGTATAAGTCACCTCAGACTTCCTCGCGAGAGGAAACACCATGGTGTACCTGGAGTATTCGTCAACGACTACGAGAAAGAAGCGCTCCCGCTCGGGCCAGCACGAGGGGCTTGGCCCCAGACGTCTAAGTCGAGGGTATGGAAGGGAGCGGTAGCCGGACAAAGGGAGGAGGAGTGAGGAGTGGCGCGCAGCCTACCATTGACGCAAGGAGTGCAGGGCGGCGCAGGCGAAAGAGGGAGCGACGCAAAGATACGCCGGAGACCTGAGACAAGACGCTGGCTAGCCATGCTGCGGAGGCGTAGGAGGGACAGGTGACCAAGGCGGTGGTGCCACAAGACCGTCGGGTGAGAGAGTGAACCGCAAGAGCAAGACGCAGCAACCAGATCGGACACCGCAACCTGTTCGGGCGCAGTAACCTAGTCGGACTCGGCAACTTGGAGGGACGCAGTAACCTGGCCGGACTCTGCTACCTAGTGAGACGCAGTGTGCAGAACGAAGAGACCTGAGTTGGGCTCTCTGGTGAACGTGGCAAGAAGTGCCCCGGTGGAAGCATTCATAGAGATCGCTGTCCTCCCGTGCGCAGGAAAAGTGACTGTGATCCCACGGTCCTGAAGGTATCCAACACCCACCAAGTTCCGAGAGTACGTGGGGATATAAAGACCAGTGAGGAGACCAAAAGGGACAGCTAGGTACGGGAGAGTGGTCGAGCTGCGAGCGACTGCTAGTTCCGAACTAGGATCAGCCAGAGCAACTGGGACTAGAGCCGAAAGAGGTGTAACAGTGGTGTGGTCGCAAAAGAAGCACTGAGACGCGCCTGAGTCCAGCGTGAAGGAGAGCGACGCGACAGCAGTCCTCACGACTGGACTAGTGAATACACAAGCACCTACACTGAAAGGACAAGTACCTACACTAGCAACAATCGAAGGTCCTAAGCTAGGGACATGCAAGCCAAGAGATCCATATGTGACAGAATAAGCGGCATCCATAGACATATCAAATACAGGGTAACCACTACGAGACAGACTGGACCAGATCGGTGGCCTCGACTCAGGCCCAAAACGCTCATGGCAGAGGTCGTCGAGGTGATTGTGGCAGCGCTGTGCAGAGTGGCCAGGACGCCAGCAGGTAGTGCCAGCACCAGGGTCGGTAAGGATCTGGTACTGGCAGGGGCCGACGTCGCGGCCACCGCGACGAGCACTTCAGCTAGCTGGACCGCTGCTGCAGCCAACGCTACCCGAACCACCAGCCCCCCACGGCTGCTGAGGGTGCCACTTCTTCTGAGGGCGCCACTGCTGTTGAGGGCACCTTTGCTGCTGGGGGTGCCACTGCTGTTGAGGGTGCCACTGCTGCTGAGGTTCCCACTGTTGAAACTGCCGCTGCTGCTGTCCCTGCTGCTGGAGAACTCTAGTGGACGCCATGGTAAAGGCTAGCGGGGTGCAGGAGCGGCAAGCTAGGAGTGACTGGAGCGATGAGTGAGGAGCGAGAAGAGCTAGGAGCGCCAGGTGAAACTAGGCGAGGAACCGCCGGAGCTCGGAGCAAAGTGAGCTAGGAGCAAGGAGCGAGAACAGCTAGGAGCGTCAGGGGAAACTAAGCAAGGAACGGCCGGAGCACGGAGCAGACAGAGCTAGAAGCGGCTGGAACGAGGAACGGCTGGAGTGAGGCACGGCCGGAGCTAGAATCGATAGACTAGAAACTACGGGCTTGAGGAGCGGCTGGAGCGAGGAGCAAGAACAGCTAGGAGTGCTAGGTGAAACTAGGCGAGGAACGGCAGGAGTATGGAGAAAACTGAGCTAGGAGCGTCAGGAGCTGGGAGCTAGGAGCGTCAGGAGCTGGGAGCTAGGAGCGAACCGTCCCTAGGTCGGGCTACAGGAGAGAAAAGCGGCTGCCAGCCGCTGATGATGAAACCCACTAATAGCAGGAACGGGTAGGCAAGGGGAACAGCAGGGGGGGGGGGGGGGAAGCAGGGCTTAGCATAGGACTAGGTAGGGACCTGTGGGCGGTAAGGAGGGTATGAGGGGCTGTGGGGCGAGTGCTCTGGCTTGGGGCGCGCGCGCGCTACTGGCTGGGACGCGCGCTACTGGCTGGGACGCGCGCTACTGGCTGGGACGCGCGCTGCTGGCTGGGGCGCGCGATCCTGGCTGGGGCACGCGATTCTAGCTGGGGCGCGGGCTCTGGCTAGGGGCGCGTGCGTTCTGGCCGGGGCGTGCGCTGCTGGCCGGGGCGCGCGCTACAGGCTGGGGCGCGCGTTCCTGGCTGGGGCGCGGGCTCTGGCAAGGGGCGCGCGCTCTGGCAGGGGTGCGTGCTCTGGCAGGGGCGCGCACATCCTGGCTGGGGCGCGCGCTGCTTGCTAGGGCGCACGATACTGGCTGGGGCGCGCGCTACTGGCCGGGGCGGGCAGTACTGGCTGGGGCGGGAGGGCAGAAACTAGGGCGCGAGGCGCCACGGAGGAGCGGACAGACGGAGCGAGCTAGGCCAGGTGAGGCGAGGGTAGGCTAAGGATCTAAGCTACTGATACCATCTTAGAAAGTGAACACAACGGAATGGTCAACTAGAAGGAGGATGGGGTACAAATATGCAAACCTAAAAGCTTTACCCCCTATAAGGCACCTCACTACAGCCTATCATAGTTATTACATTTTGACAGGATTTGCTAGAAGAGGAAAAAGAAGTTGTACAAGCAAGAGCAAGCAAGAGACAAAGTGCACCACGAATGGGGAAGGCATTTACCGGTACACAGAGAATTGTTTCGACAATCTCTTATTGTGCTTCTACCTTCACATATGCTCCTCCTCAACTCCTTTCTCATTGGTAGTCTCCAGAGGCAGCACTATCCATAGCTTTTGAGGCACGATTTATGTTTTTTTTCTTCTCCTTCACCTACATTACGTTGCGTTGATCCCTTGACTCCATTCTTATTGGACTCCGAAGGCATCACGAATCACAATATGGTACCGTACGCTCTTCAAGCAGCTGGTGGTGGTTTTAGAACCTTCATCTACACCCCTGTGACCCACTGGATCCTTTCTTATTGGTGTCCATAGCTTTTGAAGCACGATCTATTACCGTATTGTTCTTCTACCTTCACCTACGCTCCTTTGACCCCTTGGATCCTGTTCTATTAGTCGCCAGAGGCAGCACGATCTGCTCTTCCAGCTGCTCTGATTGCGCCGCCGCTGCTGCTGCTCCAATCTTCCTCAGCCTGCTCATCAGAACCGCCCCTGCCCCCTGGTCCAGGGAGTCATGCCACTTGAACATGTCCTGTGGCGTGAGCATGAAGGTGGGGGAGTGGGGAGTGGGGAACGGGGGGTGGGAAGTGGTGAGCTGTGGTTGCGCTGCTGCTGCTCCAATCTTCCTCAGCATGCTAATCAGAAATGCCCCTGCCCCCTGATCCAGGGAGTCATGCCACTTGAACATGTCCTGTGGCACGAGCACGAGAGTAGGGGAATGGAGAGTGGGGAGTGGGGAGTGGGGAGTGGGGGGTGGGGCGTGGAGGGTGAGTGTTTGTGGTGAAGAGTGAACAGACCTGCCTGTAAACCTTGGTCCAGGACGCCGTTCCGGTTTATTTTGGACGCCTCGAAATACACCTTTGGAGTCCACTCAAAAGTCTACTTGTCATTCCGGTGTATTTTGAGGCGCCTCGAAATACACCTCAGTGTTTGTGGTGAAGAGTGAACAGAACTGCCTGTTAGCCTTGGTCCAGGAAGTCATTCCCCTTAAACATCCCCAGTCCCACTCCCACACACCTGCCCCAGTCACTCCCACCTGCCCCAGTCAGTCCCACCTGCCCCAATTAGTCCCGCCTGCCCCAGTCAGTCCTGCCTGCCCCACTCACTCCCACCTGGCCCAGTCAGTCCCAGCTGCCCCAGTCAGTCCCAGCTGCCCCAGTCAGTCCCACCTGCCCCAGTCAGTCCCACCTGCCCCAGTCAGTCCCACCTGCCCCAGTCAGTCCCACCTGCCCCAGTCAGTCCCACCTGCCCCAGTCAGTCCCACCTGCCCCAGTCAGTCCCACCTACCCTGCCCCAGTGCCCACCTGCACGAGCCCCAGGTTGTGCTGCAGCCGCTCCACGAGCCCCGGCGGGTCAAAGGCCTCCTGCAGCCTTGTGAATCTTGACTTAACCACCCAACCAATTTTCAGTCCCACCCACCCCAGTGCCCACCTGCACAAGCCCCAGGTTGTGCTACAGGCTACAGCCGCTCTATGAGCCCCGGCGGGTCGAATGCCCCAGCAGTCGACTTTGAGTCGACTCTAACAGCTCACTCTTCACTTTTAGTAGAGTTACTTGTAGAGTTTCTAGTACAATTTCCTAGTGGGACAGCCACTTGACAGTACACTTGCCCCAGTCCCACCTGCCTCAGTTCCACCCACCCCCAGTGCCCACCTGCACGAGTCCCAGGTTGTGCTGCAGCCTGGCGACGAGCCCCGGCTGCTCAAAGGCGTCCTGCAGCCTGCGGGGGAGCGAGTCCACCGCTGCTGGGTCGATGTTGAGAGAGAAGAGCGGATAGTTGAGGGCCGAGGGGGGAGAGGAGCTGGAAGAGGGGGATGCTGCTGCTGCGTGGTGGTACTTTGAGGCGGCCCAGGGGTTGTCGTTGGCACGGAGGAACGTGACTGGGATGCAGCCTGAGAGGATCGCCTGGGAGGGGGGTGGTGGGGGTGGTGGGGGGTGTGGAGAAGAATGAGGAATGGTGGGGGGCAGAATGGTGGTACTGTGAGACGGCCCAGGGGTTGTCGTTGGCACGGGGGAACGTGACTGGGATGCAGCCTGAGAGGATTGCTTGAGAGATAGAAAGGGGGGGAGGAGGGGGGGAGGGGGGAAGAAGGTGAGGTTTCGCTACAGCCTTGATCAGCTAGGAGCGCACCTTAGCCAGCTGAAAGGTCCACTGGGCGCGACCAGGCAGAATGAGACAGACCCTGTCGTTCCTACAGAGAGTAAACCAGTTGCTGCTCACCTGACCCATCCCCCCTGATCAGCTGGCAGCGCACCTTGGCGAGCTGGAAGGTCCACTGGGCGCGACCAGGCAGTATGAGACAGACCCACATACCATGCGGCTATGTTGCAGAAGACAGAGGATTAGAGGTGCGCCCACACACCTGACCCATCCACTCCGTTGAGCTGGCAGCTCACCTTGGCGAGCTGGAAGGTCCACTGGGCGCGACCAGGCAGTATGAGACAGAAGACACTGCTGCCCCACTCGCTGTTGTCACTACCACCATCAGCACCATCAGCAGCACCATCAGCAGCACCAGCATCATCACCACCATCACCACCGCCACCACTACCACCATCACCACCACCACCACCATCAGCAGCAGCAGCAGCAGCAGCAGCAGCAGCAGCAGCAGCGCGAGTGATTTCAGGGGCATCCCCCCGAACCCCTAAAGCCTCCTCATTGTCGTTTCGGAATACCACCGTCCACCCCTCGATGGCTGCTGCGTTGGTCGCATAGATCTGGAGAGGGAAATGGGGAAGGTGGGAGGGAAGGAGAGAGAGGTGGGGTGTTTTGGAGTCGACTAAAAAATGGGGGGGTTGAGTGATTTTGATGCGCTTTAACATTTGGACTCTCAACCTGCTTCGCTTCGGAACGCCACTGTCCACCCCTCCATAACTGCTGCATTTGACGTATAGAACTGGGGGGGGGGGGGGGGGGGGGGGGGGGGAGGGGGGGGCGGGGGGCGGGAAGGGAGCGGGAAGGGAGCGGGAAGGGAGCACAGCAGGGGATACTTGGGCAATTTTGAGCCTTGAGATGTCTCCCAAAAGGTCCAAAGAGAAACAGCTTGGCAAACAAAGGCCTAACGACCCCGAAAGCGGCATCGTTGTCATGTCTGAACACCACCGTCCACCCCTCAATGGCTGCTGCATTGGACACATAGATCTGGGGGGGAAAGGTGGTGGGGGGGAGAGTGGGGGGGGGGGGGGGGGGGAGTGGGAAGGGAAAAGAGCGGGGAATATGTGGAAACGTTGAGATTTGTCGAAGTCACAGAATTCGGACCCTGAAAGCGTACTTGTTGTTAAAGCGTAACACCACCGTCCAACACCCTCAACCATCTCAACCAACCCCCACCATTTTCAACCACCCTCACCTCTAGCATTCACCTCTCACCTCTATCAATCAACCCCCCATTCCTCTCAACCACCCCTCACTCTATCAATCAACCCCCCATTCCTCTCAACCACTCCTCACCTCTATCAACCACTTCTCCACTGGATAGTTGTGGTGCAATCCTTCCTTGATCCTGAAGTTGTTGATGTCAGCCAAGTTGGCCGCTGACGTCACCATCAGCACACGGATAGTGCGACCTCCATACGCAGGTGGGGCGGCAGCAGCAGCAGAAGCACCTGAAACACCACCTGACTCGTCGTCTGCAGTTACAGCGGCGGCACTAGCAGCACCAGCAGCAGCAGTGTGTGCAAGCAAGGGGGGGATGACGTGTGTCTGAGTCAGCAGGGGCGGCACCACCACATCCCGCCCCGGCGAATAGCAGGCGATGTCCGGAATACCGACGTTAATAGGCGCTCCATAGTTATAAGACAGCACCTGCAAGGGGGAGAGGGGGAATGAGCACAGCAGCAGGAGTGGCACAGCTTTAGAGGAGCCTAAAAAAAGCAGGCGATGTTTGGAATAACGACGTTGATAGGCGTTTTGTGGTTATATGACAGCACCTGCAAGTGCCACGGCAGCGTTACCAGCGACCACAGCATAATTGAGCATGGCAGTAGGCCGGGGACACGAGGTGCGTGCGACAGCATGGGGAGGAGGGGGAGCGAAAGAGGTTGCAAGGGCGGCGCGTGGGGGATGAAGACTAGGGAGCGGGGAAGGACGGAGGACGGGGAAACAGGAAAGCGGAAGGGGGGAAAGGGGGAAGGGGGAGGGGGCGGGGAAGGGGGTTGTGGAAAGAAGACTGGGGGTGGTGGAACAGAAGAGGGGAGAAAGTGAGAAACAACCTTTGCACATGCTTTTTATTCGCTCAACAAAGATAAAATCTGGAATTTCCATTTACAGTGCCGTGAAGTTTAGACGCGATGCATACGATAAGAAAGCAATCAAATGGGTCGCTCACCCGCATCTGCATGTCTGGAGTCCATCCCGTGTGCACGCTCCGCACCAGACTATCCCCGTTATAAGTCACGAAGAACATCTCGCCTAGCAACTTAGGGTTTATGTACGTCAGCGCGTCGCATCTCCCGTTCCGCGTCGACAGAATTGAGAAATGATCTCGGCCGTTGGATCTGTAAAAGTGCGGCTCGCGCCGCACCTTGGCAAGCAATGCCATCCAGACCTGAGATGTCTTTCCACCGCGTCGCGCATATCCGAACCTCCTTTCGAGACGCTTAGGTAGTACTGTAGCAGCCGGGCAGAGTAAAGTGGCACGAAGAACAAACTAGCCTGTTTCGGGTCGCGGGTTCGAACACCACCAGCGTCGGATAGAATCTGCTCCGTCAATTTCCATTCGAGGTCGAAATGTAACGCGTACGGCGGAACGTCCAGCCCGGAGATGCTATCCGTACAGTTGGGCCCGAAATCGTACACGTATATAAACGGCTTCTTTTCTTCCGCAGCAGCCGCCGCGAGAAGCGGATTGAAAGGGTCAGCAGGACTATTCGGTAACCGCGCGTACACGTTATAAGCGTTCGCGTTCTCTATAAGCCGAATCGGAACAGTATTGCCGCCCCAGGGACGCTTAACTTCAGCAGCGGGCGGGAGCTCATTAACGGGGAAAACGCCACCAGGAGCTTCAGCACCTGCGATTTGACTGGAGCCTGTGCTGACGTCATTATCGCATATACAAGACGGCTGTTCTCGACGGAAGATGTACAGGGATGCAATAAGGCCGATAGTCGCAAGGACAACGACAGCGAGGCGATTCGAGAGGCTCTTAGGAGATAAGGGCGCGTCGGGCACAAGAGGGCTCATCGACATGCTGCCGGCTGCACAAACTGGTATCCAGAATCTGTCTCCCTCCTGGACGAGTCAAGTTTTCCGTTGTAAAAAATAATCAGAATACCATTTGAGGCTTTTCATATGCTCCTACACGTTGTGCTGCTTCCGCTACTCCGCGACTGCGAGTCGTCATGTGCAAGGTTGGTGTGAATGGTGGCCCTTGGTATTCCCGAGCCTTCCTCCATGAAGTCTCTGTTCCTCAGACCTTGCTATGCTTGGAGCAAACAGCTATTTCCCATGACATTGTCTCCCTTGCAGCTCGTTGGATCAATCGTTTCAAAAAGGTTAGTGGCGATCCCAAGCGGTAACTCATCCAAACCACGAACCAATGATTGTTGTGGGCAGGGCGCAGATGCGTTGCGAGCAGGTTTCATCGTTTACGAGCCCGAAGTTCGTCATTACCAGACCAATGGAGGTTCGAAAACCTTGGTGAACCTAGGGGGCTCGTTTGGTATGGGAATGCGCGGATGGGAAGGGACGGAAGGTGTGTGTGGTTGGTGACCCTCCAGCCAATCATGCTTACTTCGATCATGTCACGCCAAACAGAGCAGCTGGAGTGAAAAGGGAGCCCAGAAGTGCGTACGGCCTCGAAGTTTCATCGACGTATTGTACAGTGGGTGGACAAGAAACAGCAAAAAACAACTTACACAACACAACGTGGAAACGCCTGTGGCTGTTTCTCCAATTCTCACTGAATTTGTTTCGCAGATTTCTCTATAATCTTTGGATTGAGTTGAAGCTCCCCATTTGCCAAAGCGACGAATTCAGAGCAGGGTCCCGGGTTGAATGGTAAGTCCCAGACATGTCCCAAGAATGAGGGATGAGGTATCAATGACAGCATCTTCTCGATCACTGGGAAACCACCTAGGTGAAACAAACGATTACCAGCTCCCAATATAGTATTTAATTCTCAGGGTGCGTTTCTATCCCGTGTCAGACATCAGGTCAAAGCTTCGGAAGACACAAAGTGACTCGGTTTGTGTCTTCCGAACCTAAATTTGCCAGCATTCCGAGTCCCTTTGGGTCTTCCCAAACTCAAATTCGTGTCTAGCTTCGTGTCTGACACGGGATAGAAACCCACCCTCAGAATGTCTTACGAATTTGCCCCCCCAAAACATCTACGGACAATTTTCTCTGAATACTCCGTGCATGAGATGGCGCTATGCAGCATTTAGAGTCGCTCGAATCAAACTAGGACTTCCAGATTCGCCTGAACTCCTGCGTTCATTTGTTGCTAACAGAAAACGCGTGAGGGACGTTCCCAAAACCAGTGCAATACACCCTCATTCTCGATAGACTGGCATATGTTATACTGACCGAGACGCTTAGTGTAGCCGCACCGGACCAAAGAAGGTCCTATCACATGCGTTACAGTGACAATTTGACCCAGGGCGTTTAGTCAAGGTTTTCTACGTTCTACAATGGTACTGTTGTTTTCAAAGCGGTCAGGACGGTTATTCAACGTTAATGGTTTTTTACGGCCCAAGGCGTGTTTCAAACCCTCGTGCGACTTTGCCCGCAACCGACTTATCTCACCGGCCCGCTACGTCCAAACACTGTAGCCAGTGCTTCCGCCGGTGAGAGAGGTGAGAAAGAGGGTGTACATAAGTCAACGTGAGACGTTCATCATACAAAACAAAAATATATTTCTCCGGAAGTCCCGGAGGCTGAAAACTCCCCGACCAAGCCACCAAGTCTGGCCGAACCACAAACTCATATGTCCCGAACCAAAGACCGAACCCAATCACTATCACCCACGCCTCGAACTGACGCTTGACCCACCAACCATATCATTTTCATGGTCCACACCAAACAGCATCAAAGCTACACTTCTCAAACTCAATATGCAGGACGCACTTCCCTCGCGTCGCGGCTGTGTTTTTACATATACCACGAGCGAAAACGCGTACTAGAATCGTCGAGGTGGTTAGTTTCTTTGAGCAGAAACTGTTCAAGCTAGGAGCAACACCAGTGAGACTGTCGACAGCTGGGAGATAAGGCAGCAGCCAAATAAGCGACAACATCGAGGCAGGACTACTTCGGCTTATACTTAGTGCGCGCATCTCCGATATTGTCACGGCCCTCTCAAGCCCTAATTTTATCCAATCCACATTATTTTCGGGCTTGACACTTAGAATCTTCACCATTCCCGGACCGCGTCATGTTCTCGAGGCAGATGCTAGTCCTGGACGTCTCTAAGATTAAAGTACAAGCCGCTAAGATGCAGCAGCAACTCTTAAGTACGAAGCGCGCTCCCAAGCTCGTCGTCTTTGTGGGCGTCGCGTCGCTCATGTTGATATTACTTCTATGTAGTTCGCATTTGCAGCGGCAATCGCAAGACTGCTTCTGTCCAGACCTAGAAAATCCCGAGCAGTCCGCCGCCGCCGCCGTTTCCGCCTCGTCTCTTTCCAGAGACCTTCCCAGCGCAAGACGCGATTTAGAATCCCGTGGAGTTTCCGCCACCTCCGCCGCCGTTCCCGTTGCGGGAGTCTCGCAGCCTTCCCCAGCAGCAGCAACAATCGGATCCGTCGCCGCGTTTTCCGGCGGGAACGACGGCGGTTCCGGGGCCAGTCGGGACGCAGCTGGCGACGATAGCAACCAGCAGTTTATTTACGTGTACGACACGCAATGGGCGTGGACGGACAAGATTAAAGGGCGCGCCAAGGAGTGGTATTCGGACCAGTATGACGTGGAATCGGTGGTGACGGAGCTGCTTATGCGCAGCAACGCGATTCGCACAACGGATCCAGAAAAGGCGACGCTGTTCTACGTGCCGTACTATTCGTCGAACCACATCTCGCATGTGAACAAGCTGATGAAGAACATGATGCATAAGTCGGTTGGGGAGGTTTCTAAGGTGCGTTCCTGAGTCTGCTTATATCGAGTCGAGCCACATCGTGCATTTGAACATGCTTAAGAAGAACATGATGCATAAGTCGGTTGGGGAGGTTTCTAAGGTGCGCTCCTGAGTCTGCTTATATCGAGTCGAGCCACATCATGCAGCTGAACATGCTTATAAAGAACATGATGCAGCGCTCTCCCCGTCCCCACCCGCACGCCCTCTCCTCGTCCCCCTCTCCCCCCCCCCCCCCCCCCCCCCCCCCCCCTTCCTCCTCGTCCTATCCCCTCACACCCTCCTTCCCCCGCAGGCGTGGCACGACATTCTCACCATGATTCGCCGCGACTTCCCCTACTTCAACCGCACCAACGGCCGAGATCACTTCAGCACGAGCACGTTCGATCACGGCCGTTGCCACGCGTTGACCTGGGTCAACCCCGACCTGTACGGCGAGATGTTCTTCGTGATGCTCAACGGGGACCGCCTCGCGCGCACCATGCACGCGTCTCAGGAGAGGAACTTGCAGGTAGGGAGGGAGGGTAACCTGCAGCGTAGCGCAAGTGCATTCGTGCATGCTCAGGAGAAGGTGGAGAGGAAAGTGCAGGAAGTATCTTGAAATAATAATAATAAGAATAGTAATAATAATAATAATAATAATAATAAACAAACAAACAAACAAAAAACTGCAGGAAGGTTCTTACAATTTCCAAGAAATCTGCAGGAAGCTGCTGTCCCAAACAAGGAGAAATTGCTCATTAAGCTCATCATGCTAACCCCTCCCATCTCCCCTATTCACTCTTCCCTCTCCTCTCCCCTCCCCCCCTCTCCCCTCTCCCCTCTCCCCTCTCCCCTCTCCCCTCCCCTTTCTCCCCTCTCCCCTCTCCCTTCTCCCCCCCACTGCAAATCCTAATCCCCTCTATCCCCCACTGAACTCCCCTTCCCCCCTAGCTCCCCCCCACTTCACCATCCTTTCCCGACTTCCCCCGCTGCAAGGCATAATCCCCTCTACTCCATCTCCCTCTCATCCCAAAAGCTAATCTCCCATCTCCCTCTCCCCTTTCGCAGATCTTAGGGTACACCTACAACTCGCCACTGCAGACGCAGCTCCCTGACGTCCCATGCTACATGGGCTGATCCCCACATGCCTCTATCCCCCATAAATTCCCCCCATACCCCCCTGACCGAATGCACAGATAATAGGGTACACCTACAACGCGCCACTGCAGACGCAGTTCCCTGACGTCCCCTGCTCCATGCCTCTATCCCCCATAAATCCCCCCCATACCCCCCTGACCGAATGTGCAGATATTAGGGTACACCTATAACGCGCAACTGCAGACGCAGCTCCCTGACGTCCC